GGCGACACCCACCACGAGGCATTAAGAAATCGCGCCGGAGTTTCGGGATTCTCTTCTATAACTGCCGAATAAAAGGTTTACTCCTCCTAAGGGAATATAAACGCGAGTCTCGCCTTGGTTTCTCGATCTTTTCGAGCGTAGAAGTCGTACAAAATGGCGGAAATGTTGGCCATATTATATTATTATATATAATAATATTATATAATAGTATAATTATATTATTATATATAATAATATTATGTAATAATATAATTATATTATTATGCATAATGGCGGAATATAAACGCGAGTTTCGCCTTTGTTTTTCACTCTTTTCGAGCGTAGAAGTTGTACAAAATGGCGGAAATATTGGCCATATTATATTATTATATATAATAATATTATATAGTAGTATAATTATACTGTTATATATAATAATATTGTATAATAATGTAATTATATTATTATATATAATGACGGAATATAAACGCGAGTTTCGCCTTTGTTATTCACTCTTTTCGAGCGTAAAAGTCGTACAAAATGGCGGAAATATTTCTAGAGATACCGGAAACCTCTTCACGTATTAAAAAAAAATTTTCTCGACTTATAAACTAGAAACTATTATCAGAAACGCGCCACACGGTTTTTCGAAAATTTAAATAATCCTAGAAATGGCCGCCTTTCGAAAATGAAACAGCTGTTTCTATCCCGAAAGAACAACTTCAAATTCTTCTGAGAAATTAAATAATCAACGTATATAAGAAAATCGTACTCTACATTGTAAAATACTTTGCACAGAATATCTGCACAAAATTTTAATTAATATCATATATTAATGCAGCTTTTCTTCCCGTTGAAGTCAGGTTATTTGCGTAATACCGCTTCGACGTAACATTTTACGCGGCCGAAACTTCGCTATGAAAATTAATGGTAAAAACATCGGTGTTTCGTAATCGTTGGGCCCGCTCTCGATTCATTTTTCATAGGAGAAGTGCACCGGGAGCGAGCTGCCCGGCGTTTCTCGGAAATGAGTCGAGCTTATGGGAAAAAAAGCGGTGCTAGGACGAACGAGGACTCCCCTCCGCGAATAAATTACGCGGCACAGAGGCGGAAAGTCACGCGATCCGGACCTTAAGGTCCTTAAACCTTTCGCGTGGCACCGGGGACACGCACGCGCGATTAAGATCGACAGGAAACGGCCAGCGTGCGGTGTGTGGGACACACGATTTCCCTGAACGGACCCGGCCGGCGGCCGCCTCTCTTCTCCCCTTTGTGCCGCGGCAGCTCGTTTCCCTAAAATTTCGCCGGCCATTGTGCTCGCCATTGTCGCCGATTCCGCGGATTATGGGGTTCGACGCACGCCCTGGTTTCGCACGGAGAAACTCCGTGGGGCGACCTTTCTCTACCGCCCGCGTTTCACACCTCGCGCCGGAAGTTTACGCAAGCTTGCGGCTTTTTCGTGCCGCAGAGCGTCGACGCCCGAAACTCGGCTCCGCTTCGCTCGTCGCGAACTTTCGGTGTCGCCGGCAATTGGATTTCCAGAGTGCAGTATTGTCTCCCTTACTGACGCTCAGATTGTTCACTGAAATGGATAATTTGGGAAGAGGAGATACTTTTTTTTTACGAAGGAGATACGTTTTTATAATTGTGGACAATTTATAACTGTAAAAATAAATCGCGAGGCTCGAATAATCGTATCTCCTTTTCCCAAATTGTTCATTTTTGTGGTCAATCTGAGCGTCAGTTATTTTGTGCCACGATTCGAAGGCAATTCGGAGGCCATGTAACACGATTCGAAGGCAATTCGGAGGCCACGTGACACGATTCGAAGGCAATTCGGAGACCACGTGCCACGACTCAAAGGCAATTCGAAGATAATTTGAAGGCAATTCGAAGGCAATTCGAAGATAATTCAAAGGCAATTCGAAGGCAATTCAAAGGCAATTCGGAGGCAATTCGAAGGCCACATGCTACGACTCAAAGACAATTCGAATACAATTCGGAGGCAATTTGGAGGCCACTTGCTACGATTTGACGACAATTCGGAGGCCACTTGACACGATTCGAAGACAATTCGGAGGCCACGTGACACGCGTCAATGAGAGAGACATTACTGTGTTTCGACGATCGTCTCGCGATAAGAGATAAGGACAAGAGATAAGAGTTAAGGACTGAAGAATAATAAATAATAATAAAGAATAATAAAAGCGAACACGATCGACAGTAATTCGCATCAGCGTTCGACTAATTTTACAATCTCCGACTAACAATGCTGAATAATCAATAATTGTTGTTCGAACGAGGGTCGAAACGGCGTCGAAATAAAGCAAAATCCCTCGAAGGGCCGGATATAAAGCGAAATAATAGCCGAGAAGACGGATACAAGGAGCATCCGTGGTTTCCATTAGCATGCAAAACGGCCGATATTTCAGCGTCGAGTCGAGCGGAACGTTAAACTGCAACGGCTATTAGGATATCCAGCGTGAAATTTGCGAGGCTCGCGTTAAATCGAATGTTTCCGTTTCGAATGCGCGCGCGCGCGCGGGGGTCGGCGCGTTTAAATAATCCCGTCCGATTCGTATAAAATCCGGCGGGGCCCCATCCTCGTATTTCACCGTTCCATAAACCGTCTTTCTCGGCCGGCGGAATCGGTCCCGCATAAACCTAAACAGTTTCGCGGCACAGCAGCCGCAGCCGCAGCCGCAGCAGCAGCAGCCGCCTGGCCGAGGCGCTATAAAGTCGGGCTTCGCCTCTCTCGTATGAGTTACGGAACGATGCCCGTCGCGCACGCGATACTTTTTCCGCCGCGGTTTGCTCGAACGATTCCCTAGGGCACCGCCGCGCCCAGCTTCTCTACCTAGGATTATCTGGTGTTTATTACCTCGGCGCGTCGGGTGGCCGCGCGACCGACGCGAAAGAGGAGAGCGGAAGAGGAACGAGCCGGGACGGGCCCCGGAGCGATACCGAGGGCCCCCCTTCCCCCTCCAGACTTTCCCGGGGACAATAAATTCCGCGAGTCTACGAGCTGCTCGAACTTGGCCGCGTTCGCTTGTCCGGAAAACCCCGGGACAGCCTCGATCGTAACCAACGACCATTATTATTTACTGCCGCCATCGAATATCCGCGGTCCCTAAAACCCGCGCGGCGCATCGTCCACCGGTACTAAAAGACTTTCTAAGAACTCGGCGACAGAGAGCGAGCCACAGGCGACGTTCACTTCCGGTCCAGTTTTCTTCCGGGAGGGTTGGTGCGTCGTTTGAAGGATTTTCGAAGGATTTTTAAAATAAGTATCGCGTGTCGCGAAGGCTCGTAAAAAAGGCGAATCGCTGATTCTGGGTTCGGTATTGTTAGATAAGCTAATGTGATCAGTATTGTCATCTAAGAGTGAGTGTAGTATTTATAGTTTAATAAAGGCGAACTTTGACAAAGAAAATAAGACGTTTTACGCTAATCAATTGACAACTTTTGCTATACCTATTACATAGGCAGTCTTTGCTCTCGAAGCCATTTTAATTGTAAATCTGAGACAATTTTTCTGACTTATAGCATGTATTTCCATTTTATGCGACAAAGCGCATTTTTATGCATATGAAATTGAGTCTTGCGATTCGTACAATGGTTACACTATTAACACTACTTTTAATTTAAACTCTGACAATATTAAAATTATCTTGGAATATGATACAACGTTTCCAACGGTGCCCCGGGATCACCACTCGAGCGCGAAGGGTTAAAACCGCGATTGCTCTTACCTGTATGCCATCAATTATCAATTTTAAATTATCATTTATATTATTTTATTTAATATTGAATTATCAATTACTATTCAACGGGAAAATCGCTATAATTCGTTGTTCTAAAGCCGTTGTCTATCGCGAACCCGCGATCGTCTCTGAACACGATTAAGTCTCCCTAATGTCTCCCTAATTGACGCTCAGATTGTGCACAAAAACGGACAATTTCGGAGGAGGAGTTACGATTATTCGATGCTTGCAGCTCGTTTTTATAATTTTTGACAATTCCATAACTATAAGAATGAACCGTAAAGTTCGAATAATCGAATCTCCTCTTTCTAAATTGTCCAAATTTTTATGGATAATCTCAGCGTCATTTAGAGACACATTACTGTACAGTGCACAAAAATGGACAATTTGGGAAGAGGAGTTGCGATTATTCGATGCTTGTGGCTCGTTTTTATAATCGTTGACAATTCGTAACTATAAAAATGAACCGCAAAGCTCGACTAATCGAATCTCCTCTTTCTAAATTGTCCAAATTTTTATGGATAATCTGAGCGTCAATTAGAAAGACATTACTGTACAGTGCACAAAAATGGACAATTTGAGAAGAGGAGTTACCATTATTCAGTGCTTGCAGCTCATTTTTATACTTATTGACAATTCTATAACTATAAGAATGAGCCGTAAAGCTCGAATAATCGAATCTCCTCGAATCTCATTACTGTATAAGTAATGTCTCCCTAACTGACGCTCAGATTGTGCACAAAAACGGACAATTTCGGAGGAGGAGTTACGATTATTCGATGCTTGCAGCTCGTTTTTATAATTTGTGACAATTCCATAACTATAAGAATGAACCGTAAAGCTCGAATAATCGCATCTCCCCTTCCCAAATTGTCCATTTCTACGAACGATTCGAGCGTCAATTAGAGAGACATTACCGCACCGTCTGATCACCGGGAGAGGATGCGTCGGAAGGTAAAATCGAGGCGATCGGCCGAAACGAAACGGTGATCGGTTTAGCAAAAACCGGCGCGCGGATAGATTGGAGAAACGCGGATGATCGATGATGCGTAGACGGATGATGCGTGCGTGCGAACGGCTTCGCTCGTATTTCAACGGATTTAATTATGCAGTTTGTTTGGACAGACAGCTTCCTGTCAGCCGGCGAATCGACGGAACAGAAGCCGCGCGGCGGCTTCGCGGCCGCGGAACCGGGCACGTTGCTCGTCGACGGCGACGACGACCCGTGTGTAACCGATTGTTTGCTTGTGCTTCCAGAGGCGGAAAGTTCATCACTGTGGGCGACAGAATTAGGTTGCCCGACGACGTGACGATGGGCTATATTATCGAGTACCTACTGAAGAAGCAGCTGACGGTCGTCGAGCAGTTCCATTCCCATCTGGAGCCGATGAAGTTTCTCAACAAGGACACGTTCGCCGAACAGGTCGGTAAACGACGACGATCTTTCTCTGTTTCGCAATCTATCGAACGACACCTGCACCACCGTGCTCCGATGTCACGCGACATCGTTCCGTTTTTTCCGCCGTTTCATCGGAGCCGATGAAACGATTGCCGCGCCAATTTCTGCTGCCCAGCTGAATCGACCAGGGTTTTAGCCAGGTTCGATCGCCCGCGATAAGATCCACGTGGATTTCCACGTGGAAAGTACATATTATACATGTATATACGTATATACACACGTTTGAACGGTGTTTAGAAAAATCGATGTCCAAGAATATTTCAGGGGAGCTAGTGAACGGCGGCTGGCTCTTAACGGTCAATGATCCGATCGAACTCGGCTAACGACCGAGCGCTGCGTGTAAACGAGCCTCGACTATTTTTTTGTTCAAATAATAATTTCAGTCGAACGCGCGAATATTCTACTGTTGGGTTATTATTGGGAATTAGAGGCAATTAATCGGGGATCATTGGAAATTAGTTGGAAATTAATTGAACATTAATTGGAATTTATATATATATATGGAAATTATTAGTATTATAAGGTTATGTCAAGGTTATATTAATTAATTGGAAGCTATTGGAAATTATATAATTGGAGATTATCGCAAATTAATTGGAAGCTATTGGAAATTGGTTGAAAATTAATTGGGAAATTATATATATGGAAATTATTATTATAAGGTTATGTCAAGGTTGTATTAATTAATTGGAAGCTATTGGAAATTAATTGGATATTACCGCAAATTAATTGGAAGCTATTGGAAATTGAAAATTAATTGGGAAATTATATATATGGAAATTATTATTATAAGGTTATGTCAAGGTTGTATTAATTAATTGGAAGCTATTGGAAATTAATTGGATATTACCGCAAATTAATTGGAAGCTATTGGAAATTGAAAATTAATTGGGAAATTATATATATGGAAATTATTATTATAAGGTTATGTCAAGGTTGTATTAATTAATTGGAAGCTATTGAAAATTAATAGAAGATTATCGCAAATTAATTGGAAGCTATTGGAAAGTCATTGAAAATTAATTGGGAAATTATATATATAGAAATTATTATTATTATAAGGTTACGTCAAGGTTATATCAATGAATCGGAAGCTATTGGAAATTAATCGAAAGTTATATACATGGAAATTATTATTATAACCACCTTGACCTTGCCACAACCTCTCGCCAGAATCCGACGACATTTCCGCGAATCTTGTTCGAAATCCGGTGTCGTTCGTCTCGATCTCGCGGCGACTTGCTCCAATCTCGACCGTGTTCCGAGCGATGATTAATTGATCCGGTACGAGGGATTAAAAAAAATTATACCAGGAGGGGGCGGAGGTTACGCCGCGGAGTAGAGGGGGAGGGAGGGGTCGAATTAAGATCGTACGGGTCGCAGTGTGAAGTCTAATCGCGGGTAATAGAATAATCTCCGCGGTGATTCACCGGGCGGCTGCCTTTCCTTCACGGGACACAATGGCCATTATTTAATTCGTGCCGTTCGCGTCCGTTGTTCGGGAATTGCCGTCGGGCCCGACTGACTCATGAAGAAGACCAGGTGATCATTATTTTATACGGTCGCGTGATCCACCGGCCACCAGGTGCCGCCATTATCGCTCCATATCGTTAGATATATATCCTATCGCGTCGGAATTATTAATTAACAACGCGCTGTCTCAGCGATTCCATCTGCCGCTCCCGCGCACCCCTTCGCGATGGCATCGCATTTCCTTCGGCATCGAACGATCGTTTCGCTGTACGAATGGACGGAAAATTATGCTGGCGAAGTTGAAGCGTTGATGCGTCGGGTAAATCGAAGGCGACGAGTTTAACGATATGGTTAAATTTTAGCGAATTTTAGAGCAAAAGACACTGGCATTTCGATTGCCACGTATATCTACTTGTATATTGCCAGAAATAATTTTTATCGTATATTATAAAAGATAAAATAAAAGATATATTATGTTAAAAAGTTATAATATAACTTATTATTGTATAAAGTTATAATATGACTTATATTATTATATAAAGCTATAATATAACTTATTATTATATAAAGTTATAATATAATTTACTATTATATAAAGTTACAATATAACTTATTATTATATAAAGTTATAATATAACTTATTATTCTATAAAGTTATAACATAACTTATTATTATATAAAGCTATAATATAACTTATTATTATATAAAGTTATAATATAACTTACTATTATATAAAGTTATAGCATAACTTATTATTATATAAAGTTATATAATATAACTTATTATTATTATTAAATTACGTAACTATTAAAAAGTTACAAAGCTTCTTTCACGCTACGATAGAAGCTCCATAATCTCGTGAATTTTCAACTTGAAAATGCGAAATCGATTAAATGTCGATCGACTCGTGTTGAATCGTGATCGAAGAGGTGCGCCAGAAGAATCCATTTAAAAAATGGCAGACGCGCGAGACGCTCCGGAAAGAGGTCGCTGATACTATTGCTAATGACGGCGGCAGATTAAAAACGAACCCTGTGACGGCGTGCCGAGATTAAATGCGCGCTAGCTCGAGGAGATAATTTGCAGGAGGAAAAGGGCGTGCGCGCAGGATCTCGGGCAGAAAATGAACAGCGCGCGGAGTCACGTCGGTATCGTAAGCCCGATCGGAGGCAATTTATCCTTAACATGTTGCCGGGCAATTATTTTCTCCGTTGTTCGGGGGCCCGATCGGCCGAGGAGAGAAAACGGACACACAGACGTACACGGAATCAAGGGGACACGATATAAAATATACCGGCTGACGCGACTCGCGAAAGCGAAATTTTCCATCGGCCGAGAACGCGATCGTATCGCGAATAACGCTCGCTGAACAAATATTTTCGTTCCGGTCGTGGGCAGAACTTGATCGCGCGCGCGTTCGGCCTGTCTCGCGTTTCGCGCGAGCCGCGTGGGGAAGGACGTCTCGAAGAACGAAATATCTGCTCGCGTTCGCTCGATATATACGGTAATGTCTCCCCAACTGACGCTCAGATTGTGCAGAAAAATGCACAATTTTGGAAGAAGAGATACGATGACTCGAGCCTTGCATAACCTTGACATAATCTTGACAATTCGTAACTATAAAAATGAACCGAAAGGATCAAATAATCGTATCTGCTCTTCCCAAATTGTCCATTTTTGTGGACAATCTGAGCGTCAGTTATTTTTTGACACGATTCGAAGGCAATTCGGAGACCACTTGACACGATTCGAAGGCAATTCGTAGGCCACTTGACACGATTCGAAGGCAATTCGAAGATAATTCGAAGACAATTCGAAGATAATTCGAAGACAATTCGAAGATAATTCGAAGGCAATTCGGAGGCAATTCGAAGGCAATTCGAAGATAATTCGAAGATAATTCGAAGACAATTCAGTCGACTACTACGACTACGACTCAAAGACAATTCGAATACAATTCGGAGGCAATTTGGAGGCCACTTGCTACGATTCGAAGGCAATTCGTAGGCCACTTCACACGATTCGATGACAATTCGGTGGCCACGTGACACGATTCGAAGGCAATTCGGTGGCCACAGACACGATTCGACGACAATTCGGAGGCCACGTGACACGATTCGAAGGCAATTCGGATGACATAAGCTTGACCGCGTAGCAATAAATTGCATAGGCGCAGCACAAGCACTCGAATCGTGCCGAACGCATATTCGTTCGATCGTTATCGTCTCGCTCGAGATTCCCGTTTGCCTTCGAACTTTTCGTTTCGTTCGAACTGTTCTGATTACTTTTTCTCGTTTCAGGTCTCGTTCAGCTACTCGAAGGGTCCCAGGGACGAGTGGAACATCCTGGAAATCGACGGCTTCGACATGAAGGAGGATCCTAAACGGTGAGCGTTACGCGAATTCGTATCCTCTATTTTTCCTCTGCTCTGTTTTTCTATCTGTGCTGTCCTTTCGATGCTTTGTCGATTAGCAATTAGTTAATTAGTAATTACTAACCGGTAATCTGCACGAGATTTTAACAGCGTTGCTGCATCGATGCAAACGTTCACTTTCGTACTTTATTTCATCCAAATCGAAATTGGACGAAGCTTCTTTTGGTCGACGAAAAGATCGCTCGTTGTAAAACCGAGGTAAAAACTGAGGTAAGAAAACTGAGGTAGAAGCGTTAACGGAGTCTTGCTAATTTATACGTTTCCTGGCATTTTTCGGGGCGACGCGTGCCACGAATCGGTGTTGGACGTCGGTCGGTTAAAAGTTTTAATTTGATCGAATGATCGATGAACGCGATTAAAAGAATAAATCGTCGAAAAGTCGACGCTTGAAAGGCTTTACTCGTTTATTAATTAAATCGACGACCGATTTAATGGATTGATGAAATTAATCGCCGATTGAAAGGGACAATTAATAATTTTTTTTTTCTTAATGAAATCGAAAGGGTATTTTGATGTGATTCCGACTAATAGTTCAAAGAAATTTAATCATTAATTAATTCCAACGATTTTAACTGTGTAGATAAAGGTATCATAATGTAAATATAAAGGTTCAGGGGTTCGAGGGTTCAGGGGGCGAGAAATCATCTTCGCTTTAAGCGCACAATACCCGCAGTCTCTACGCGATTAAAGCTCTTGAGTAAATTCTTAAGTAAACATTTAAAACAAAAATTTAATTGAAAACAATATACAACGAGGAAAGTCTCGAGGAAGATGCTGCAAAATTTCAATGCCCGAAAAAATGCGTAATCGTCGAAGAAATCTTTCGGTAGGGCTCGAAGCACGATTTCCATTTTCCTGATTGCGAGACGAGCGAGCACGATGCATCGGCCACGGTGCGGGATCTTCGTGGAAGAAGTCCGTGGACTTCCTCAATCCCACGGGACCCATCCGTCAGTTTTACAATCGGCCGTGGCCGCGGTATAAAAGGAGTAATTAGCGGCCGCACGTAACAGAATAACTTCTCCCTCCCGTCGTCCCCCGCTGTCCTCCCCGGCATGTTCTTCGTCAGGTTTCTCGTATCATTTTCCCGTTTCTTTGACCCGCTTCGTGTCTTCCCTCGCGCGGCGTTCCTCCGTAAACGCTTCAATTGCTTGTATAATTGGCCGAGCCGTGTGGCTAGACGATGATGCACACATAGACGGCGATTGCTGTAACGCGCGGAGAGAACCGACGGAAGAGCCACGGTGTCGGGAGGTAATAACGAACACCGCTTTAATCGTCTTTATTCTAATTACCGGTTGTGCACGCTCGCGCGACCCCTTTCCGAGAATTTTCTGTCCGCCGGCTGAAAACCCCGGGAACATCTCCCTTTCCATTATTGTCTGTGAGCAAATTTTTCACGGAAATGTCATTTTTGGATTACGTTAATTTCGATCCACAGGCTCTACAGGCTTTCCCAAAATTATGGTGTCTCCTGGAAATGAGGGATTCCCGAGGTCATTTGAAGTAACTTTTTCCTTTGCGAAAATGCAATCCGCGGCTTCGTTTACGAGTTATTCGCGAAAAACAGTGGCCAATGAGAGGCGAGCTCGGCTGGCGCTAGGCGGAGCGGTCGGAGCCCAGTTCAGCCGATTGGCTAGGCCGCCTAGCGCTAGGCGAGCTCGCCTCTCATTGGTCGCTGTTTTTCGTTAATAACTCGTTAACGGCGCCTCGGAGAAAGTTTTTGTAAAGGAGAAAGTTACTTCGAATGACCTCGGGAACCCTTCATTTCCCAGAAATACCGCAGTTTTGGGATACCCTGTATATTTTTAACTTTGGAAAATCATTCTCTTCTCTTAATCGTTTCGCATAGAAATGATCTGAAGATTTCAAAGAAAAGTCATTCCGGAGCTAATCGAAGTTCTATTAGCTCTAACTTTAGGACGCTCGTCATCCTCGACCTTTTATAGAAAAATTATGCGAACGGCGTAACAAGGGTCGGACCATCCTCCAACGAATTAAACGTTCGCGGAAAAATTCTACTTACAAATCGTGGCAATTTTATAAGGACGTGCTCGAGATGCAAAATCCACAGTCTCCAGAATCCATCGAGAAAGTTCGAATCCCGGTTGGTTCATTGGAAAAGATCCGCTCGCCAATCGTTCTGTCGCGATTCCACAGAGATAAGTGAAGTTTCTATGACTATCAACGAGGAAAAGTTGCTGGCCGCATCGTCACGGCGAAGTAGAAAGCTGCTTCTTCTTCGGGAATTATCGATGAGACTCTCCTTCGTTAAATATTTGAGCGTTGTTGCAGTTTTATGAGCGTCGGACTCTCTTCTCCGATGGAACACGTGACGGGAGTTCGGGATGTTGGTCGCCACGGAATTGCTTTTCCGCTATTGGCTCTTTCGGGATCGAATCCTCTTGGCGTTTTAGATGCCTCGGATTAGATGTAGCTCGTGCTCGCTTCGATTCTGTATCATCTATTTTATCGCGACAATAACCTTTTTTCTTGCTTCAATTTTCAATGTTTCGTCGGTTCTCGAACGTTCTGTCTTTCTAGCCGAATGTTCCAATGCTTTTACTGTTTTATACTCGGGTACACAGTATTTTGGGTTTACGGTATTTCAACGTTACAGTATTAGTGTACCGAGACGTTGCGACATTTAGAAATTACGATATTTTACATTTCAGCTTTCCAACATTTCTATATTTCAATATATCAGTGTTCAAATATTTCTATATTCCAACATTTCCAAGTTCCAACGTTCTACATTTCAGCATTCCAATATTTCAACATTACAGTATCTCAATGTTCCAAAAATTCCTACACTGTAACACTCCAACATTTCCAAGTTTCAACATACTACATTCAGCATTCCAATATTTCAACATTACAGTATCTCAATGTTCCAACATTCCTACACTGCAACATTCCAACATTTCCAAGTTTCAACATTCAACATCTCAGCATTTCAGTATTCCAACATTCCAGCATTTCTATATTTCAATATGTCGACGTTCAAACACTTCTACATTAAAATACTACAACATTAAAACATTCTACATTTCAGTATTCCAACATTTCTACATTTCAGTATATCGATGTTCACACATTTTTACATTTCCAAGTTCCAATATTCTACATTTCAGCATTCCAACGTTCCATCATTTCCAAGTTCTAAAATTCTACATTTCAGCTTTCCAATGTTCCAACATTCCAACATTTCCAAGTTCTAACATTCTACACTTCAGCATTCCAACATTCCACCATTTCCAAGTTCTAACATTCTACATTTCAGCATTCCAACATTCCAACATTTCAACATTCCAATATTCCAGTATTTCTATATTCCAAAATGTCGACGTTCATTCTTTTCTACATTACAACATTACAAGGTTAAAACATTCTACATTTCAGTATTCCAACATTCCAACACTCCAACATTCCAGCATTTTTATATTTCAATATGTCTACATTACAACGCTTCAACGTTCAAACATTCTTACATTACACTATTTAAACGTTCTAATATTCCCACATTCTACTCCTATTTCAATGATCTCTATTCTTCCTCGCCTCTGAAGGACCTTGCCAGTCCCACGATTTAAGACTCCTCTGCACGACGCACGCACGCACAAATTCCTCGAACTAACGCCGCCACAAGCCACGTAATGCTAACGTAAAGTTTAAAGACGCCCCGAGGCTCGTTTGTGATCACGGTCGCGTCGATATTTTCTGATTACAGATTCAGGTCGATCCACTGCCATCTGTTCCCCCACGTGGCCAATTGTCCGCACAGATGATGAGCAGCCGTCCGAGCGAGCGTCGGCCGATGACGGGGAGACGAAGGAAACGGGGCCGACGATCGATCGATCCCGATCCACGAGGCGGCGGCCCCCTCGCCGTCCAGCCCCGCGTGATTCAGACGTTCCGCTGCGTCCCTCGCGTTTCGTTATTCCGTTCGCGGTCACGTTTTGTACATTGATTTTGTACAGCACACGGCAGCTCCGTGAACGTTTCTCGAGCGAATGCCGCGCGGGAGCTTCGCCGCGGTGTCCGTCTCGTTTCTCCCGTTTTCGTTTCGAACGAGACGCACGCGAGCCGCGGATCTAACCGATCCTGATCCTACGATCGATCCTGCCGTCTCGCGGATCACGGGGCAACAGGCTTTAATTCGTCGATTAAGATTGCACGGCGGTCCGCTTTCTCGTCCGCGCGCGCGCGGACCGTATTTATAGAGGACCAGTCGTTAGGGAAAAACTGCGGCGAAGGTTTTTTCCTTCCGCCGAGAGTTCAAGGTATATATATATACATACATTGCAGGGTATTCCAAAATTATGGCATCTGTAGGAAATGAGGGGTTCCCGAGGCGATTCGAAGCAACTTTCTCCTTTACAAAAATTTTCCCCGACGCACCGTTCACGAGTTATCAACGAATAAACAGCGCGACCAATGAGACGCGAGCTCGCCTGGCGCTGGGCGGTCCAGTCAACGAGCGCGCGCAGCCCAGTTCCGCTCATTGGCTCGGCCGTCTAACGCCGAGCGAGCTCGCATCTGATTGGTCATTGTTCTTTCGTTGATAACTCGTAAACGAAGCCTCGGAGAAAATTTTTCTAAAGGAAAAAGTTGCTTCGAATCGCCTCAGGAACCTCTCACTTCCCGGAAATGTCATAATTTCAGGACACCATGTATAATATACAGATTGTACATAGGGAGATAGAGCGGCCGGTATTTGTACATAACAGATTAGCCTAACGTTGTTCGAGCGCCGGGCGGTTTCGCTCGAAATCGAACGGAAAAAGCGGCGCGGAAACGTTTTTGTCTCGCTCGCTCGGAAATTCTATCGCTCGGAAAGAGAGAGAGAGAGAGAGAGAGAGAGAGAGAGAGAGAGAGAGAGAGAGCGAGAGAGAGCGAAGCCTCTCCCGAGCGTTCGACATTGTTGCAATATAATTTCCACGCGGAAGACATTCCCGGAGGACAGAATTTTTCCCCGGCGAGGGGAGAGAATGATCCGCGACGAAATTCGGCGCGAGCTTCGCGGTTCGTCGCGCGGCTCCGCGCGAGCACACGAGCGAACATTGATACACGGTGTCGCGATATGCAATTGTACCATAGAGATGCGAGGAACATTCGGCGACGGTCTCGCCGTGAATGATGTGAATTACCCTAAGCTAGTCTCTTTTGCGAGGAAGCCGTACAATGTGATATTTAACGAGTGCGAGTGGATTCGCGGTTCTGGTATTCGCGCGAGGAAAAAAAACAAGGAGATCGATGGAACTCGAGGTGAAATTTGTTCCGGCCTCTCGGCTGCGCGGCCGTTTCGCCGTCGAAACGGGGAAGAAGCGAACGCCGGAGAAACGTTTTCCCCGAAAACGTTCGTAATTCTATGCGTAACGAGGTTGACGAAGGGGGGACTCCGGGGGCAGCTGTGATTCTCTAATTCGATTTCCGATCCGTTTTTCTGCGAGCCACTCTGTCCGCGTTCCCCGTTTGTTCCCGTTCTCCGCGCTCTGTCGATCGAATCAGTGTGCAATATTGAAAGAAAGAGAGCGAGAGAGAGTGCGAGAAATAGTGCGAAAGAAAGAGAGAGAGAGAGAGAGAGAGAGAAGCGAAATTTGCTCGCGAGTTAGCGGCGAGCAGCCGAATTAATTGTTTGCTTTCCCGGCGATGGATCCCACGGGAACGGCTCGACACACACACGCGCGCACACACACACCTGTTGCGTGAAACGCCGGGAAAAACGAGCGAGAAAAAGGTGGATTTCGCCGAGTGGAATCGGCGAGACCAGCGATCTACGATTGTACGTTCTAACAATGATGTTTTATATAATATACGATATCCATATTACGGACGTGAGACGACTTCCGGCCGATTGTTCCCATTGTCCCGTGGAAAACCTGCGTGGAAAACCTACCAGTTTCCCGGCCGTTTGGAAAATTGCCGTCCTTTGTTCCTGTTCGAACAAGTGTGTCGAATTAACTCCTCCTGATTTCAGAAAATTATTTCAGCAGACGTCGAAGCAGCACGCAGTAATTTCTTCCTGATCGACGCTCGTAGATTGTACATTAAAATGGACGATCTGGGAAGAGGAGATACGATTGTTCGATTATTATTTTTATAGATTATTATTTAGTTTCTTCTAGTTATATACATTATTTTTCTAAGTATTTATTTTCTTCAAATTATATACATTACTTTTCTAATTACTCATTCTCCTCTAATCATTTATATCATTTTTCTTATTATTTATTTTCTTCAAATTATATACATAACTTTTCTAATTACTCACTTTCTTCTAATCATTTATATTATTTTTCTTGTTACATTGTAAAGTGTTTCTTTACATTGTAAAGTGGTAATTTAGCTGTGTAAATCACCGATATTTGAATTTCAACGGAAATTTAAGCCCACTGCCTCCATCTATAACGACTCGAGAGAAACCGCGGTCGAAGTCGGTAAAGTTGTTCTCCTCGTTCCTCGTCATCGTTCTTCAACGCCTGGCGTCGTTGCTTTTTACCATTCTCTATCCAGATTTGATTTAACATAATTTTACGTCGATGAGAAACGATGTAAAATATTTTTAGAACCACGAAAAGAAGCCGACGAAGAGAAGTATCGATCGAGTTTGCCGGCTGCTTGCCGTCCATCGGTCACGGAGAAACCAGAAGGTAAGTCGGGTCGCTGTAAAAATGTCACCAGACTCTCTCGTTGTCCCTAGGATCGGAATTTGTCCCTAGACAAATTGTCCCCAGAGCAATTTTCTTTCAGCCGTAATCGATGGCCTGAATTCATCGTACGGTACTCGCGATTCAACGAGTATCGACAACTTTCGGTGACAGTGCGACGAGCTTGACGCAACCCTTACAAATGTACAACCCTTACAATTTTCCATGCTTTGGTTATTAATTTCACCGAGAATTCACTTTTATCGATTAATTGTTATAGGCAACGCAGTCGATTCGTTTGCAGGAAATGCCACGATAACTTTATCTAGTGTTTATTGACAATAAAATTAGTATTTTTTGTAATAAAATTTGTAATAAAATTCTAACGTATCTAGCAAATATTCGAAGCAACTAATAACTTATAAATAATGATAATAATAATTACACAAACTTATAAAATGAAGATAACTATAATAAAATATGCGAAGTAAGTAATTAGTATTTATAGTAAATATTATATAATATTATATTATATTATATTATATAATATTATACTATATTATACTATATTATATTATACTATATTATATTATATTATATTATATTATATTATATTATATTATATTATATTACTATAGTAAATATTATATTATATTATATTATATTATATTATATTATATTATATTATATTATATTATATTATATTACTATAGTAAATATTTATATTAGTATTTATAGTAAATAGCATAAATGGTACAGTAACAGTAGTACAAATATTTATAAATAAATAATTACTTCCAAATAATTTTCTAACGAACGTAGTAAATAGTAAAACGTCCGACGATTTTCCAAACGGTTTTTCACGGATTAAGCGCGGCAATTATCAAGATAACGCGTATGGTTATTTCGCGAACATAATTCCGGCGCGCACGATCTCGCCCGGAGGAAGCAAAATTCTGGTGGCAGCATGATCTCGTTAGGCACAAAACGCGGCCAGTGTCGTACCCGATGGTTCCCGTAACACGCGCCGTGTACGCGATTCCGCATGCGGGCTTCGGTGTACATTACCGTGATAGGTACACGGGCCCGGGCATATTTACTCGGGACTTCTCGCGAAAAATTTATTTCCCCCTCTCCTCGGCGGCCGCCGTCGAGTTATCCTCGCGCCGACTATCGGCAGTTATATCCGCCGCGTTCGAATTTCTCGAGGAACGAACCGAACCCCCTCCCCTCGGCCCGCGCCAGCCTTGCATCGGAAGTGCATCTGCCGAGAGAGAGGCCTCGAAAACCGCGGTAAAAGGTGTTCCACGAATGCAATTTTTCGGAAATGCGAAGCCGGAGTAGGAGGACGCCGTTTCCGCCGTCAATATCGCGACCGAACTATTAATGCCCCTTCTGCATTATAGAATATCCCCCTCGACGTTATATTGCGAGTGATTTGGAATTTTGTTGACCCAGCTGCACGCGTGCATTTTTCGTTTTATTCCGGCTGATAAAAATGGTTTCGACGTTCTCCTCAGATTTTCCTTCGTTGAAGTTTCTTTTTCTTCGATTTATCCGATTTATTTTCTCCATTTTGTTGCTCGGTTATTTATACAATATTATTGACCCTTCGCGGTCGTAGCTATTTTAATTCGAAATCCAAAACATGTTTTCTAATCTATAGTGTTTCCCTCTTATATGATTTATTACGATTTATGCATATGAAATTCAGCCGATTGGCAAGTACAGTACTTGCAATATTAACAGTCTTTTTTTTATTAATTATAAACGAGTCTGATACTGTTACAATTATTTGGAAAAATGGTGTAACAATTTTAATGGCGCCTCTGCGTCGCCACTCGAGGGCAAAGGGTTAATACACATGTTCTCCTCAGATTTTCCTTGGCTCTGAAGTTTCTTTTTATATTATATATATATAATTATATTATATACATAATTTATATATATATTATTTATATTTTATATATAATTTATACGATTTATTTTCTCCATTTTGTTGCTCGGTTATTTACGGTTTCGTGGCAGTTTTTTCACAGCAGTGTTAAAAAGTGTTACCGCGGTGTCATTAGTGTTGGGCATTCCCTGTAGATGTCGGGTCCACTACTGTTACAATCGATTTCGAAAAACAATGGAATTGCGCTTCAATTGAATCAGGACTTACCGATCGAATCTTCTTCGGTGGCGAAACGATCTTAAACAAAATAGGAATAAAATTATTGGAAAAATTAACAGAGAGAAAGACGATGAAAGCAATAAAAATTAACGAAAAAGGAGGATGAAATCTTTATAAAGTTAGAAAAGCTAAGATCGATTAGTTAATGCGAAGAATGCGGATGCAAAAAGAGACGAGAACCCAAATGTTTCTTACGAAAGTATTAACCCTTTGCACTCGAAGCCAATTTAACTGTGAATCTAAAACAATTTTTCTAGCTTACAGTGTTTCCATTTTATATCACAAAGTGCATTCTATGCATATGAAATCGATACGCAATCGATATTATATTATTATATTTCATATTATATTATATTATATTATATTATATTATATTATATTATATTATTTAATATTATATTATATTATATTATATTTGATACACATTTATATACCATATAAAAATTTATATACAACAGTCACGCTTTTAATAATTCTTCTCGAAACCTCGGAACGCGCGCGCGTGATATAACAATTTTCGCG